TTTTTCTTTTTTTTTTTTTTTTTTTGGGGGGGGGGGGGGTGGCAGCTTTACTAGGCATATTTTTCAGAATGCCATTACTTTGTGCTGAGTGAATGTACATTACATTCTTCTCCCCACTGTCATACTCTATACACTCTATACTCTGTATAGTATGTATACTCTGTTGTATACATACTTGTGCTGCTGCACTCTGTACACTGGACTGTACATTACATACTGCACTTTATACATTAAATACGTTGATACCTGGCCTGCACTATATATCCCAATGGTAATTATAAACCTGGCCCAATTGTTCATTGTGTCAACAGTTGCTGGTTCCTTAATAGTCCCACACATTTTAACAAGGTTCTTCTTTAAGGTAGGCTCTGACAAAGTGTTTGCTCTCTGTCTATAATCTGTGTGCAGAGAAAAATTATGTGTCTGTGAAACTCTTGTTTGTGGCACAGTAAACAAAGAGACCTGATCACAAGGGCCTGGCAGCAAAAGGCCTAAACCCCTTCTGCCTAAAGTAATCCTCTTCAAGAAGAGCCTAATCATTCACCTGCAGTCAAAGGCACTTTTATTAGTCCTGTCTTAATTATAAAAAAGATCTTCAACTGCTAAATCAATTTGAGAGGAAATCACTGTTTGAAGGTCAACAGATCAGTGGCTCACTCCAACATTTTAAGGTTATTAGACGAAAGGATGATTCCTCCCTTACTCTTCCCCTGGGCCACATCACGATAAATACCAATTGTAAAAACACCTGCACAAGTATCTGCATGACTTTGACCTTCCTACCATGTCCTTGAGTGTCAATTTACATATGTGCAGTGCATGTGTTGGATTAGGACAGGATGCACAATTTGTATCAATGCAGTGCACCACAATGCACTATAATGTGAATCTGGAATCTGGCCATCAAGTCTAAGATGTATATAGCAGCATTGACCTTACAGTTATGTTTTCAATCACATTTGATTGCTTACACTGACTTCACTTGGCTGTTTTGCTGAGGGCACAATAGCTTTAAAAACAACAGTTATTTTTTTTTTTTTTTTGTAAGATATGAAACAAAAAAAATCTTCCTGCCTTTGTAGCATCCTTTTATTTAATTTATAATGGATACAATATACTAAACAACTTTTCTTGATAATCTGTCACTGCCTGTGGTTTATCAGGAATGATTGCTTAGAGATACAGTACTAATAACTCTTTAAAAAAACTTTTTCTTAAGCTACACCTGAATCTGGTAATACAATATAATACAAATAACTACATTATAGAAAGCTATGTTGACCTATTTGCAAAGTTAATAAAGTTGAAGAGAGACACATTTACATCTGGCTCATAAAAAGTGGTATAATTTCTTTAACTCACCTCCTCCTTTTCTGCACTCTGTAAATCTCTCCATTCTTCAATTGGTTGACCAAGGTCTACTGTATTCATGGGGACTTTTATCTCTCCAATTATGTCATGTTTGGAAAAGCGGTCAAAGTCATATATGGCCATAACCAAGGTTTTTCCACCAAGCTCTTGATATGGAATCTATAACAATATAGAAAATGTTACTGAAACATTTTTCTATCGGCATATAATATTTCTACTGCTGATACTTCTCAGTCCACAGTACATGATTTCATTGTGTATCTAAATCCAAAAGGAAAATGTTATATGTTGCTGCTTACCAGTCCTTAGATGTGGTGGCTGTATTAGATTTATTTTTTCAGCCTTTTTTTTCCTTTTACTATTATCTGGTAATCCTGTCCTGTCCTAGGGTAAGAATGCTGACTCTCGGTACTGTATCCATGAGGGCCAGTGTTGTCACCCTAGAACAGGAAATATATTAGAACTACAGAATACCTTCCCTTCCCTATAACATAGGGGAAGGTGTTACGTAGTACTAATACACTACCTGATAACATTGTTTGAGATAAGACTGCAGAGAGTGCAGGACAGCACTGGATTTCTGGCAGGATCATCAGTTATTATTGAAAAGACATAACAAAATGCTTTAAACTGTATATGTAACAGACTAAAAAGGAGCAAAAAAGGAAAATTCATGGATACAGTTTACATAACAGGAAGAAGAATGAGAATTCACTCCCCAGAAGGTATGTGGCTGTTTTTTGTGCCTCAGGAGAGGCACATATTTCCAATTCAATGCCTCCCCAAGCATATGCATTCCAGCAAAGCCGTTCCAGCATATGGCACCCGGGAATCCTAAGAGTCAGCCCTGTAGAATCAGGACACTTGAAATGTTATGCTTTATGCTACCCCCTCAGTGGCACTGTGCCCTAGGCCATGACCCATGTGGCTTAAGAGCAAATCCGGCCCTATGTTTCTTGAGAGCTTGATCACACCATCTACAGACCAGGCCTTGATGTGTTTCTGCAAATGTGGTCATGCACATTTTTGACACATTTTAATCGGTTCCAGTGCAGTTTTTCTCATCTCAATTGGTTATGCTTGTGTTTTAGGTGCATTCAATTGCGTTTTTATGCGTTCAAGACCAAAATTGCAGCATGGTGTACTTTTTTTAAAAGCTCCGGAACTGAATGCAATGGTGTGATCTACCCTAATTTCTACCATTGGAATTATTGTGTATGCGTCTTTGGTTTAGAAAAAAAACGTTTTGGATCAGGTCTGGAAATGGTGTGAACAAGCCCTGAGAGTGGCTAAAAGTTTACTAAACCTTAAAAGTAAATGTCTCATTGAAGATGGGATTCAGGGTCTTCCGATGAACTTTAGTCTCATGCTTCTTCTTCTTATCTGGTAAAAAGAAAATCTTCACATAGGGATCTGATGTTCCTCCCATGTCCAGCGCCGGTAATTCTGTAGCTTGTATGACACCAACTTGCATCTACAAATAAAACAAAACTAGAAATTATAAGCATTTTTAATTTGCATGCCAAGTGATACAACTGAATAAAATGTAAGATAAAACAGGTTATTGCATTATAAACAAGAGTGCCATAATAATTATGTCACCTTTAGAACTGCTAATCCTGTTTTATATCAAGATCTATGTGCAGAAAATACAAGTTTAGGTAACTGGGGGTAAAGAAGTAGGAAAATCATGGACATCCCTTAACCAATCAGGAAATGCTGGATAAAATTCAACATTAGAAAAAGGATTACCAATTCCAGGGCATGTATAACAATGACTGAGGAAGACATTCACAAGTTTTCAAGATGATGAATCAATTAGGTGCTGGGACTTCAACAATTATTCATTCAAAACACCAAAAAAAACAAAAATATCAGGTGGGCTGTGCTAATATGGCTGCTCACATGGAACAAGGTTCCCCTGTGGTGGGTGCCGAGAACGTGACCTTATTAAGCAGCAAGCTACAGATTTATTTGACTCTTTTACTGAATTTATTGAGAAGTTTCAAAGATACTGAGCCCTGCTGAAGGGGAGTATGTTTAGGCCTAGAAACTGGCTGTTTTATAGGACTCTTTCACCATTTGGTTTGACTATATTATATATGTGCACGCTTTGATTTACAAGTTTCCAGGTAAGATTATGGGATTTTACTTTGGGGATATGACCATAAATATTACAGGCTGCACACTAGCATGTAAGTTGCATCAAAAAGTGTGGATCTTGCAAACGACACAGGTAACTGAACAGTGGTGGCACTTTAAACAATGTAGTAAAAATAATAATTTGCAGTACTGCCTGATGCAAAAAAGGGAACCTTGTATATAAAGCTATTATGTATTACTTATATAATCTTTAAATGTACTTTTACATAAAACTAGTATAAGTATTCAAATCTGCTTTGCAATAGGCTTGTTATTAAAGTGTCAGAAGGTTGAATTGTTAAACGTCTTTAGCAAGGATCTTTACAATTGCTCAATTAGAAACATAAGCGACTAGTGGCCACCCTGAGGACTTGCATTCAGGCGGCCAGCTGGACAGGATTGTTGTAGATGATAGAAGATGCCTTGGTACCTGATTATTCTGAAAGTCATAATCCAAGGAAAATTGAAGCTTTCCAAGCTTCTCTTCTTCCTTTTCTTCCTCCTCTTTGTCTTCTCCTTCTGTTAGGCCAGTTTCTGCATCATCATCGTCATCCTGCAGAATCTGCCAAGAGAAACAGATATCACGTGCCTGCCTTAGAGATTGTGGACCATATTAAAAAATAGCTTTTTAAACTGTATTTAAATTTCTACACAGTCAAAAAGCAATTATATTATCATAGGTCTAAATTTCAAACAACTAAAATTAATATGCAAAACAACATCTCACCTCAAAATGTCTACATATTACTTATAGAAAACATTACCAATTTCTTTAATTGCTGAACTTTCTTGCAATCAGTGGTTAAAGTACAGCTGTCAAGACACCCATATGCAGGAGATGATTGTCACCCAAACTTCTAGGCAATGGATGAATCAGAAACAATCATCCATTGTGTGGACACCTCTCATCATGTCAAGACACCCCAGATTAACGACTATAACAATGCATTGGTCACAATTTTTCCATGCGTTTGCTATTGTTCACTTAAAATGATTTATAAACAAGCACATTCAGCACATTCAGTAGAAGCATGCATATTTATGAAGTGATCATTCTTCAGAATTAACCATTTGCTTTTAGAACTCCGACCACCATCTAATGCCTATGGTATCTTTAATCATCAACTTTCAGACTTTTCAAATGGAGACAGAAAAGATAAAGATTCTGAAAGTGAAATGTGCTATTGCAATATTCTTTGTTGAAGTGAACTGTTAACCCTTTCAAGCCACCGTGCTTTCTTTGAACATGCATGTTTAATTAGAATCTGTCACAAAGCAAAATGACAGCAAATCTGCTGGTGAAGTTTTGCTATTATCTGTCTTATGGGCTGCACACCTGTTTGAAGGCACCTAAGTCGCTCACAGTAAAGCTGCAATGTACCGTATACATCATTCAGAACAGCTAGCCCTATAACTGCTCAGAAGACAGAAGCACTGCAAGACGGTTAATCAACACTAATGAATGTGCAGCAGGAGATACATTTCTGTATGTTGGGTTTTCCAATGGCCTCTGCTCATAAAGAGTAGTAAGGCTGACTAAATTCCAGCCGATGTATTTAAATTTAAGTATATTTGTAGGTATATTTGGGTTTTGTAGCCCAGGATCATAAAATGTCACCTCTAAAAGATGTTTTGTTAATTTCAGCATTAGTATTGTGCCGTTTTTGAGCTTCCACTATCACAGATGTCCTGATCCACTAAACGGTGAAGGGCAGGTGATATTCCAGAACTCATTTACTCTCCTAGTTCTGGGTGCAGTTATACCTGTGGATCTTGGGAATTATACACTATATATACACACCATACAGCCATCTAGAAAAGTTCATACAAGTTATGTTATATTTCATTAAGCTTCTCAGGTTATCATTGAAAAGATGTCCAGTGTAACAAACCAAAAAGACCGCCCAGATTATTTACCGTTAAATGTGCCTTTACAATATATTTTAGTAAACCATATTATATTTGATTCAAGGTACCAATACATTTTTTATAGCAACTGCAAAGTGCTGACCACCAAAACACATCATTTACACTATATCAGGATAGGAGTCTAGATTTAAAGATACCCATTAGGAATACCTCGGATACACTGGAGGTAATCTAGTGGTGCAGATGCCCTCACTATCAGCAAAGAAGGCCATATAATATACCTGCATAAAATGTATACTTTATATCAGCAAATGAGGTGTACACAGATGACCAGCAGAGGAGCCAAAGTTGCAGAGTGCATTTATTTCATGCAAGATATAAATATCAGAACAGGAGACAAACTACAGATAGATACAGCAGCCTTGGTCAGATCATAAAACAGTTACATTTATGCCTGAAGATCTGCCAAAATGATATAGCAAGATTATAGCTCAATAATGTTTGCACAGAGTTAGCCAAAAGGTAAAAAAGCAACTTCCTCTTAGTTTACATGAATGATTCTATATTTTCTATTCTCAAATGTTATGCTATCAGTGCTGGCTGCTTCCAGTGATGAAATTTCCATTGTCTGTTAATTATTCTGTTAATTGATAAGTACCAATCTACATTGTCTGTTGGTATTCAAGGCTTTATTTATTTCCTATGTTAGGACACCATCTTGTGGATACTCACAGTAAGGCACCTGCAGAAGTGCCGACTTTCATAGGAAAGAGGCTGTCTTAGGCTGGGCACACACCTTACAACCATCGCAAGACTGTTGTCTTGCGATGGTTGTAAGGTAATTTAAAAAACATAAGATCTGCCTATCTTGGACAGGCAGATCGTACTTGCGATGACCGCAATGCCGAACGGGCAGTGTGTGCTTGCGCACACCGGCCCGTCCGGCTTTTATCTTACAAACATGCTACACACCCGCCGAACATCGTACGATTCTCGGTGGGTTTTCGAACATGTTTGTAAGATAAAAGTCGTGCGACCTTACAGTAGTAGAGGTCGCACGGCTTCCACACACCTTACGATAATCGTATGATCGCGGGATTATCGTACGATTATCGCAAGGTGTGTGGGCACCTTTAGCAATGTCATAAAATGTTTTCTAAACTGGTCTGAAATTATACTGTGGATTCAAGAAAAATGGGTCCAAAGAACTCAATTTGCAGATCCTGCAGATAAAACACCAGGCCGTCCCTAACTAAATGATAAATCAAGTGCTTTTACATACCCTTCAGACAGGTATTAGGCTTCATGACTTGCTCTGCTTGAACAATATAATAATAGTCTGCAGTGAGGGGACTTGACTCCAGGATTGTCAAAATATACACCTTCTTTTCAGTTAATGTTGATAATCCCTTTATTTTAGGAAGTGTAATATGTACTGTTGACAGCAAGTTTATTGACATGGTTTATGTGTGCCAGGGATAGTCTCATTACAGTAACAATTATCAGAAAAATAAACATTGGAGACATGAACTTTACCTTATTAATACATGCTTTTGCTTATGATTAAATGAAAACAAGCCATGCCCTACACAAAACACTCATCTGTGTATATAAATTACCTCTGGATTGCTAGTCATAAATATGGCAAACAATATCATGTTGTTTATTTAAAAAGAAAACAAAATATATATATATATAAAGTTTAGAAAAAAATAAATAAAAATGAAATATAAAAAAACTAATTAAAAAGGTTAGAAAAAAATAATTTTCAGTTTCAGCCTGACACTTTTTTACATTTTCGGCTCTGTATGAGTCTACTGCTTCCGCTGTAATAGTGAAGGAATCTGGGCAGCTCACTCTCTTCTTCCACCCTTTCCCATTACAGAATTATTTTCAAAGAATGCAAAGCTTTTCTGTAAGTGAAGGAGGCAGATCCTATCATTCATATGCCACTCTTCCACTCACAGAATGCCTTGCATTTTGTGAAAAGTAAGGAATTCTGTGAATGGGCAAGTGAGTAGAAGGGGAAGGTGAGAGATGCCTATTCCTTCACTGTTACAGCTAAATTAGTTAACTCATACAGTGCCAAAATTCACCACTGTAAAAAGGATCCAGCATCAATGGAGTGAGGATTTCTACAGTAACCATCATCCAGCAGGACATAGGACTTATTTCATTAGAGGTAAGTTATAGCCCTGCTGCTGTATAACTGAAAATCTATTTAGTTTTTTTTTTTTTACAAAACGTCACCTTTATTCACTGCAAGTAATATATATTCGTATAGTATATTTAAGTGTCCCTCTTGTTATCCAAATTCCCAAGAGCACTGCAAACCTCTACAGGCCACCTGGAAAGTAAATATGGATAATCACAGCAAACAAATCAGTGATTCATTAGTTTTTAATCCCCCTGACCAACAGCATGTAGATTAATCCTATTTGTAGAAAATCTTGCAATTTCGGAATCCAGGAGATTGTAATTAATAGGCAGTAAAATGCTATGCAAATTGCAGAGGTCTGCATGCATATATAATGGAGAAACAAAACATTTGCTGTTCACTCATTTGTCAGTTCAGGTTGTCTTCAAACCAGTTTGCTCATCCTTAAACAGTAACATGCACATGTGACCGCTCATCCTTAAACAGTTACATGCACATGCAGTCAAAGATTGCCAGAAAAAGCTAAAATCTATATTTCTAATCACACTTTAACCATACATGGTTGTTGAGTTGAGCAAAATGTACTAATGCACTGCTGGATTATACAAATTAAGCTAGGAAAGGTATGAACAAATGCTATGAAGAAAATTTTAAAATAGCATGCTATAAAAGTGTAACCCCCCCACAAATGTTAAAATGTCATATGCAAGGTAGGGCAATGAGATAATAACCCTTGTAGATTCTGAGGTCTATCACCTTTGCTTGTACACGCTTTTAACATATCCGCTGTGTTCAGTGGGATGTGTTCTTGGTACCATGAGTGTCCTGTAGTTACAGTTTCTTACAGTTATCTACAGACTCAACAAGTGTCCCACAGATAAAAATTTACATTTATTTACAGTTGAAAACTGTATAACAAGCAGAGGTCCTTTTAAAAGCTCGCACCAGCATAAGGAAACAAGGTGGGTAATAAAGGCTATTTGCAAAATGTGAGAATCCCATTGCCATGCCTTACAATATCACATCTGCCAGCAGGATGCTGTTGATGATTAAAGCACAGAAAAGTACTGACTTTTGTCATGCCTTATACACCCTTATTATTGCTTTCACTGTTTTCAGTTATCAAAAATTAAATTAAATTATTTCCTTTGACAGTCCAGTCATGCATATGCACTTACCAACACAGACAGTTATTCAGCAAGAAGAACATATAGACATCAGTTGTGGATAGTAGAAAAAGACAGGGAAGCAAGAAAAAGAGAGGAAAAGGAGGTGCAATTAGCGTTCTTTAAGTCTGTTATGATTCTGTAGAAGTTATAGCCATATATTAAGGGATATGTTAAGTTTGCTATTTGAATTGTCAGAGTTGCACAAGATTGAGAAAGGCAATGTAATTTATAAACTGTTTAAGCGGATAACAGCCAATCGTTTGCAGGACACACAGTGCTTCCTACCCATTTCAAAGCTCTTCCACCAATTCACATGAAGAGAACAGAGAAGGTTAGCCCACCCTTTTACAAAAAAAATTATCTGATTATTACCTATTGCTTACTGTGGTTTTAAAAAAGCAGAGTATATTGAGAAGAGAACTTTGATCCAAGCCTCTTTGTGCAAAATGTATGGTTAGGAGAGTGCTTGATATTCTGCATTGCTATCCCATTTGTATATTGTGTTTTTACCTGCCCTCCAGATCCTTTCATGTCCTTCATGTTGAGAGCATTTTTCATTCCCTTTCCTTTCTCTTTCTTTCCTTTCTTCTTTTTGCAGCAACATTTCTTACAAATACAGAAGCAGCACGTGATGATCAGCAAGCCTGCTACCACTGCTATGGCTATGATGGCCCAAGGAGGTACTACAAGTAAGAAGTGATAAAGAAAGTATATGAAAATAAAATATTATCATACATTCTATGGTCACCTGCCATCTTCTAACTTTTTCTCGAAAATTTTACCTATTTAATCTGCAGTTCATGTTTCCAAATGCAAAATAATGCATTTAGGGAAAAAGAATCCTCTGATAGAGGACAATGTAGAGGGTACAGTGTTGGCCAGAACTACAGAGGAAAAAGATTTGGGGGTGCTTATTCAGATGACTTAAAAATTAGAAAACTGTATGGCCAGGCGGTGGGGAAAGTGAATAGAATTCTGATGTGCGGCACTTGAGGAATCAGCAACAGCATCATGAAGGAGGTCCTGATTTCTCTATATAGATCTTTAGTTATATCTCATTTCGAATACTGTTTCCATTTCTGGAGACGTCACTTACATAAAGGTATTGAAAAGATAGAACAAATCCAGAAATGTGCAACAAAAATTATAAAAGGTCTGAGGGGTTAAACGGATCAGGAGAGACTGAAGGAACTTAATATATACAAACTTGATGAAAGAAGGGAAAGGGGGACATGATTGAAACATTTTAAATACACCAATGGTGTGAATAAGGTTCAAGGGGCAGTATTTTGAATATGAAGCTAAGATCAAGAACACAGGGACATTACCTCAAACCAGCCGGAAGAAAGTTCAAAACTAACCTAATTATTTCACAAAAAAATATTTGGTGCTTGGAACAGACTTCCAGCACAGGTAGGGAGTCAGTCAAAAGTGAGTGAATTTAAACATGCTTTGGGACAAACATAGATCTATAATTAGACAAAAAGGTTAAAAAAAGAAAATATCAAAAAAAGGGCAGATTAAATTGTTTACTCGGTCTTGTTCTGCTGTCACGCTATGTTTCTAGTCTGTTATGAACAGTAGTTCATAAATCTGAGTGAAAAGTATAGTAAACTATAGGGATAGTGCATATAACCTGTGACCCTAAGCTCAGTGTTGACATCCCACACAGGCCTTGCAATGTTTAGTTTGGGTTTAGAAAGCAGGCAAAATTATATTTATAACAAATAAAGATCAGAGGAATCTGCATTTTTAGACCTCGTATCAGAGCCAGGTTAAAGAGTCACATGAAGAGATGTCTCTGCGGTGGTCTGTATATTCACCCCCATCTGATATTAGCTACATCCCACACAGGCCTTGCAATGTTTAGTTTGGGTTTAGAAAGCAGGCAAAATTATATTTATAACAAATAAAGAGTAGAGGAATCTGCATTTTTAGACCCCCGAAACATGTTGCCTAGCATCAAGCTGGCGCCTCATAACCTGGAAGGGCCTTTCTTGCAGAGAAGCTAGGATGCCACATGGCATTGATCTCTGCGCTGTTCACTGGTGGTTCCAGACAGCTACCTATTCCACCTTGCTGAGCACTAAAACACATCATGCCCCGTCTCCTCTTCCATACAGCCCTACTGCTGGTTACATAAGAGCTGTTTGCAGCAAGTCCTCTCCAGATTTAATAACAGGCTGGTGTACATCTTTTCCTCTGTAAATGTATTTTACTCTTTTATTCAATAATATACTGTTTTTTACTACACTTAGATCCATGCGCCCTGTTCTCTTTAGTATATGCCTTGTAAAAAATAATATATAAATGTGGATATGCAACCAAACACCTCATAAGAAACCAGGACAAGACCATCCCTGTTTCATTGCTAGATGCAGATCTCAAACTATTTAACAATGGGACATAATCCTTGAGGATGTTCCTACCCAGTGAAAGAAGCCAACCTCGAAAACTGTAGTAGTGGACCAAAACACTACTTATATGGTATATAACACATTGAAGCTCTACTAAAATATTTTTTTTAGCAGATCATTAACCAGTGCTCAAACTGTGTAAGCTGTGTCTCTAAACACTACTTAACTTTATTAAACCCTACAAAGCAAGCTGCCCATAACCTTAGGGTTTATTCTAGGCTATCTCTGTCGCCTACAATTTGTTAATTCCATAACCCACATCCACTGCAGATAGAGTATCTTATATTAGTATGGGAATTAAATAACACTGATTTAGGCTTCATTCACACTTGCCACTTGCAAAAGAGAGATCTGTCTGCAAAATCTGTCAGGCTAGATTCTTTACTTATGCTTCTAGATGTTTAAAATGACATGCGTTTACTGGCATATACACTGAGTGGCCAGATTATTATGACCACCCCATCAGTACTTCGTTGGGCCACGGGATGACTCCATGAGATTACTTCGTTGGGCCGCCTCGTGACTCCACGAGATGTTGAAAGGTGATGCAAGGAATCTGACACTGCACTGTTGCCCTTCTGTTGTCTTGTACCAGTGTTGCCACTCTCCGTTCTGCCCTAACATTGACTAGTCACTGACAGCCACAATTCGCACGTTCAGACCCAGATTTTCGGCTGACAGTCCAGTCTTTAAACACTTTGACAACAGCTGCTCTTGAATATTTAAGGAATTCTTCTGTTTTGCTGATACTCGCTCCATTACTTGAGCGCCAACAATCATCCCACGTTCAAAGGCTGTTAAATCGCATTGTTTACCCATATCTTCAGAAAAAAATCACTTCTACTGTCGTGGTAAACAACCTGCTTCCCTATTTATAATGGTCTGGCCCTCTAGCAACTTCAGCGCAAAATTATAGCTAATCATAGCTAATTTGCCTACAAACGTCAGGTGGTCATAATAATCTGGCCACTCAGTGTATGTTTAGATGCATCTGTCCTTTGTCCATTGAAACAGTCCATTAGAGTAGCCAATGAGATTTCTGCAAATAAACACGTCTTGAGTTTACATGTGTTTTGGTGCATTTAGAAGTTCAAATCAATTCCTAAACACATCTATTTTTTCTGAGTTTTGGTGGGCGGCCCTCTCCTTGAAGGTTTGTTGTGGTGCCATATTCTTTCCATTTTTTTAATAATGGATTTAACGCTGCTCCGTGGGATGTTCAAAGTTTAGGATATTTTTTTATAACCCAACCCTGATCTGTACATCTCCACAACTTTGTCCCTGACCTGTTTGAAGAGCTCCTTGGTCCTAAGGGGTCACTTGCTTGGTGGTGCAACTTGCTCAGTGGTGTTGCAGACTCTGGGCCTTTCAGAACAGGTGTATCATGTGACACTTAGATTGCACACACCACTTTTCCTTTTTATTTTTAATTTTTTAATTTTTTAAAACAAGTTGTTTTCTTGATTTCACTTCACCATTTGGACTATTTTGTGTATGTCCATTACATGTAATCCAAATAAAAATCCCTTTTGATTCCAGGTGGTAATGCAACAAAATAGGAAAAATGCCAACGGGCTGAATAATTCTATGATCTTAAACAATATTCTCAAACCAACTAGCCTACCCATGCCATCATAGCTGATTTCCTTCATAAAATCAATCTCTCAACCCTTTAATATAGCAGATTCAATTCCTATCCCCTTGAATTTATATTTCTATTCCTAACTTACCTAGCAAAATCCATGACATTATAGGGTATAATTAAATTATAATACAAACAACTCACTCTTACTCCCTACCTGATATATTTACAACATGGAAGTGTCCTCTGGCTCCTGTCTAAAAGAAATGTTAAAAACCGTGGTTGTAGCCATTCCGAAGCCAGACAAAGATCCCTCTTACCCTCAAAACTACTGACCTACCTCACTACTCAATTCAGCGGTAAGGATTATTTCTAAGGCCTTGCCCAACACCTCTTGCACATACGTCCTGATCTAATGGCACCAGATCGGGTTGTATCCATAAAAAGCAAAAACGCGCCAGACAGCACTAGAAGTCTTGTTAATCTTATTAAATACACCAACCCCCAGACAACCCTTTTCTGTTTCTGTCATTAGATGCCAAGAAAGCATTTGACCGATTAGACTGAAGATTCATAAAAGCGCTTCTCTCTAAATCTGTTTTTACACGATTGATACATCTGCTATCATTTCATCATATGCAAACCCTTCTGCCAAGGCTTTCAATGCTGGCATGCTTTTATCAGAATTTCTTATTACTTACTAATGGTATAGGCAAGGAGTGCCTCCTTTTCCCTATTTTTGCTATGGTCATGGAACCACTGGGGGAACATAGTAGAGCCAACCTGAAGGTTAAAAGTTAAGTCCGACATGGTCAACATACAAAATCAGCCTTTTCTGAGTCTTGGTGCAATTTAGCAAAGTCTCTTACTACAAGCTTAACGAGCATACATCTTAAATCCTCCACCTCTGCATTTACAAATTCAGCAGAACTTTCCATACACTTGGGCCCCAATCTCTGTAAAATTCCAAGGGATTCAAATTTCTGTTAACACTTGACAACTCCATAAACTAAACTACAAACCTTTTCCTCATATCCCTACCCCAAGATCTTAAACATCTAGCCGCCCAGGAACTCTTCACAATGGGACACATTTGCATAATTTAAAATGGTTTCCTTGCCTTAACCACAATATTATTCCTTAAAATAGATACCCCCTGCCATCATCATACTTAATCTAACTCTACAATTTACAATTAATCAGTTTATATGGGGTCACAAGAAACCTAGATGTCCAATAATGGTGGAGCCCTTCCCCCAAACAAAATTTGATCAATAAAGGAATGCAGGTTATTACTTACTACTAAAATGCTATTACTGGTGGTGAAAACAGGATCCGCTTTAAAATTCCTTTCTTAGAGTACATCACAGGACACAGTGAGGTAAATTCTTAGACAACTGGATTATGCAGCTACCTTCAGGTGACCGGACACTAGGAAATCAATTATTGCTGTAGGAACAGCCCCCATAAACCCTTTCACTATCAGTCTGCTTCACGCATTACAGAGAGGAACATAATACCAAGGGGAGGATCCTGTGTCCTGTGATGTACCCCATGAAATGGATTTTACAGGTAAGACAAAAATCATCTTTTCTTGATGATACAACACAGGACACAGGGAGCTAAACTCCTAAACCAGTGGAACATCCACAGACATTCAAACAGAAGGGCGTTCAACACAGCA